ACATCTCAGCTCCATCGCCCCTCTTTCAGCTAAAACCCATTCCCCCTCATCCTGTCCCTGCACCCCCTGATCCAGAGCCCCCCCATCTCTCCTGTAGCCCCCTTTCAGCACTGGAAGCATCCGTATTTCCCTTAGCCTGATGCAGTAAGGTTTCAGCGTCCTCTGTTGCATTTAAGAGCAGCATCACTGTGTTCTTGGACAATATAAGCGCATCTAGTTTAATGTGCTCTTCGATGTAATGTATGTGGCGAGCTGTGATTTAGCAGGCATTTTTTGTTAGCTGACAGCTGTTCACTAAGGCCATGCTTCTTGTTTGCTGTCCCAGGACAAAGAATACAGTCCTGGTTAATGCAGTCCCATACTTCCGTCGTCAAAACTGGTTCAGCAATGGGAGTGTTACCTCTGAGCTCAAATGCTTGTTGTTGAAACAGCTGCTTCTTGTGAAGAAATCAGATTATTTTTCAGGCTGCAGTATGATTACATTGCTGTTTGAGTTATACTGCTGAACTGCGTAGACTTACTCAGTCTCCAGTTCTTTTGAGGAAATGATGCATCTTAATACACCAGAGCCACAGACTTGTAAATTAAAGAGACTACTTACTAATGAAAGAAATTGTCCTGGAATCTGCAAAAAATGGCCTGTGTGTAAAGTTAGCTGTAAGCAGAACTCGCTGACATTGGGCAGTGCTTATTTAAAAAGTGTGAAATTACGTAGCGATAGTTAAAATTATCGGCGTTAGTTTTGGCAGGGTTTGGTCCGGCCATTCTGTCAAGTCAGGACTCTAAAGCCATCCAGTCTTCAGAGTTACTTGAACCCAGTTTCTTTTAAAATAGCTGTTGAGGTTTCCTTTTCCTCTTAACTCTAAATGGCACCTCTGATATCAAAACATTCAAACTCCCACTGACTGAACCGTTAACTGAGCAAACGTAGGACTGACAGTTTGATTCTGCTTGCTTAGCTATTCTCCTTAATTGTTTTGGGCTGGGCAGTTGAGTCCCCAGCGTACTGTGTCCACTTCCAAGCCTAACATAGATAGCTTTGGCTCTCATTAAAGTCGCTCCTGCTTCCTAGCTGCGAGTTGGATTCCAGCTTTTCTTGTTGCTCAATCCCACCTGCACACACTCTGCTGAGGAAAACCAGCCACACGTGGCCACGGAAAGCACAGAATTGCAGGACAGCTATGAAGTCAGACATGCCGATCTCCTCTTTGGCTTCTTGCTTCTGCCTTGTGTGCTACTTATACGGGTGGACAACTGAAATAATCAGTCTACAGTGTAGCGTAACGTGAACCTGGCTGTCGTGTAGAGAACTTTCTCTTGTGCTAATGCACACGTGTTGACAGCCCTTGTAATGCATCTCAGTGCTGTTCTAGATACAATACAGTAACTGGGAGCAACTGGGTTCAGTTAGTGCATCTTAAAAAGTGCCTCATTGGTAGCTCCAGGTGAGCAGGGTACACTTTAGCACGCAAACGTGGAGAGGCATAACTTGGTTTTATTTAAACGTTGCCTTCTTCATGTTGTGGCTGTTCTGCACAGCTCGCAGCTGTTGGTCTTGAGGAAACCTGTAGAGAAATCTGCACAAGGAAGGGCTGTCAGCAGCAGGGTTTGAAGGGAAAAGCTTCTTGCTTACTGTTCAGTTATCCTCTTCATGGGGCTGTGGCCCAAATTCTTCAAAGCCCAGTACAATTAATGTATATGCTTTTGAATCCTCTGTGGTTTTTCCAAACTTGTGATGTTTTATGTAATGAAGGAGCTTGTATAATGCTTTTAATAGAGTGATCCAAGAAAATAATAATGCTAAAATAACCTGTAACATGCCCTTTCTAAGAAGTCATCCTTGGCATGATATTTTTTAAATGGATTTTCTGAGGCCTTAGTTGCTTGAATTGCTAGTCCCAGAAGGTCAGTGGAAACTCATTCTTAAATGAGCTGGGCACATCTTGTATTTCTTTCTTAAACTATTATATTTTGTTCTTTTTTGATTTTAAGGGAAAAAACAAACCAAAGCAGAAGAACCTTCTACTCACCCTGTGTATACTGTCGGGTGAACTGCTACCAAATGGTCACAAAGCCTCGCTTCTCTTCTTAACTGTGCAAGAATAGTTTGAGGAAATAATGGGGCCAAGGACTATGACTGTCAAACTCTGTATTTCCTTTACCAGAGTATCACACCTTAAGTAAACCTGCAGGTTTGGGTTGTTTTAAGCCTTTGGCCTCCTCTGCTGGAGAGGGATTTAACTGGGGTTGAAATTGTTACAGCCCTGTGACAAGGTCAGGATGTGTGTCTGCCTCTGTGCTGCTCCAGCCTGCAGCCCAGCGTGCTAATACCGATATGAACAGTAATAAAAAAAGACAACATCTTTTGCAGCAGAATAATCATCTGCACTCAGGGGACCAAACACAACAACTTATTGGAGATGTTGGGGAGTAGTAGAGCATCTAGGGGGATCTAGCATCTAGCAAGGATCTAACTCGCTGGCAGAAGCAGTACAGTAATTGCTTTCACTGAAAAGCATATTTTCAAGTAAACATACAAAAGATCATCTTTAATGGATGTTGGGATAGGCAGTAATTTTTTTTTTTATCCTTTTGTAGAGGTATAATAAATATACCTTCACTTATTCTAATTCTATTGTCATTTTTTATTGCTATTCATTCTCTGGGTGCATGCTTGCTTGCTTCAACTCGGAAGAGTAAGCATCAGTTTGAGCCTGTAGGAGTGAGTTTCATTTGGTGTGACGCTACTTTGCCAATGTTCTTCCAGAATATCACCCAGTATTTGTGGTGTGCTTCACCTAGTAACCTATTTCTCCTGTCACGCTCAGGCAGATGATGACCAGGTTCTAGGCTTCCATCAAACCTTTTTGTTGAAAAGTTTTCAAGGTGCCTGGGTGTGCACCAACGAAGTCTTCAGGCTAGCCCTCCACAACGTTTAACCCTCTGCCTTACCTCTCCTCCATGCAGTCCTCGCTGTCCTGGTTGAGTAAGGAGCGCTCTCTTCTCCTTCTTGTGTCACTTGAGCTGGGCTGAGAAGCATGGCTCTGGCCTGTGTGTTCTCAGAGCAACATGGCAGATCTTTGGCTCTCCCCAAGAGTGTGAATTTTGACGTGATTGTTGAAGAATTAATTGTGAATAACTAATTGTTATGCGGTGTTTCTTGGTCTTAACTGGGAAAGGAAATTTGTAATTAAAATTGCTGTCTGTTTTGTAATGCATGCTGAACACTTAGAGCATTGCTTACAGCCTGTTAAATGAGGCTTAACCTGCTATCTTAAATCATGAGCCTTGCCTTTGAGATAGGGATAGCTGCAAGCCTGCAATTCAATGCTGGTGAAAGAGTAAAATTCTGACCAGACAAGAGGAGAAAAGCTGTGGTTTTTTTCTAAGTTTTGCAGCTAAACTTGGGTCACAAAGTAGTGTTGCATCTAATACTGTGACATGACCCACAGCTCCGCAAGCTGAGGACTTTCTGCAGTTCTGAGCCTCCAGGTCAGAAGGGAGGAAGAAAAACTGGGAGAGGTCAAAAAGCTGCCAGATGAGCAGCGTTGGAGAGCTTTTGGAGCTGGAAGAGGAGGCACCTAAGGGCCATCTGCCTGAAATGTAGGTGGAAAGTGGTTGAGTACTTTCCACAACCTGAAAGCAAACTGTTCTTGGTGGTGCCAGAGAGTGTAACAAGGGACAGCAGTTGCAAACCATAACTTGGGTGGTTCAGGTTGGATGCAAGGGAAAGATTTTCACTGGAAGGCTGAAACCCTGGGAAATGATGCCTGAACACCTTGTGAAACATCTGTTCTTGGAGGCTTGGAAGACTCTGCTAGACAAAGCTGTGGCTGATGCAATGCTGCTGGTAGTCCTGCTGTGAGCATGAGGCTGGCCTGGAAAGCAGAGGATCCTTCAAATCTGGTTCTGTGACTTTTTAAATTTTTATTTTAATTCAAGGATGTCATGAAAAAAATTGAACTGCATAAAGGAAAGCTTTGTAGGAGAAATAAAGCACCTGTGTTTCAAGCTTGGGCTCACACCTGGAATGCAAATTTTGAGTTGGACATAGCTGAATTTGGAGTGGAAAGTAAGAGCAAAGATTTTCCAGTGGTGTTACCTGAGCTGTGATGAAGATCAAAAATAAAATGGGATAGGATTAGTCTACGTCTTCTAGAGCATCTTCTGTCACTCAGCTGTGGGTCTTGGCTGCATGTTAATAGGACGTGTTCAGAATTTTGGGAACAGAATACACATTATTTCATTTGCCTTGAATATAGTGTGTGGTTTTCCTTGTTTTTAAAGTATGCTGCTCCTCTATGCTATGAAGACATAACATGAAAGCAGTAATGTGTGACTTCATTGTGTCAATTTGCCACATGTACAACAGCAAGTGTTTGGGGAAGAATTCCCTTTTAATCTTTTTCTCATGTGTCCAGTCCTGAATTGCACAAGAAAGAAATTCTCCTCAAGCCAAAGCACTAAGAGCTGCAGTGCAGCTAGGTTTACCAGAAATTGAAGAAACCTACGCTAAAACTAGTCCGGTGGTGATCATCTTTTTTTCCAGAGGTATATTTTTAAAGTGTACTCATGTCAGTAATGACATGCTCAGATTTGCTGTGAAAACTATTTATGCAATTTGTAATAGATGCCTCAGTGACCTCAGAAGAGGAGACCCTAGGGCAGCTGAGAGTATACTACATGCTTATTAATAGTTGTGATTAGAAGTGATACAATCTGAAATGATTCTGCCTGGCTGGTTTAAACTAAGCCATTGGAAAGGAGCTGACATAAGTATGAATTCATTCCAACTTAGTCAAAAGGCATGGCATTAATAAGATGCTTTATGAAGTCATCTGTCAAACTTTAATGTACAGCTCTGATGCTACTCAGTTTTCTTAAAGATTCCTTCATGTCCAGGAACCTACCAACTATCAAGCAGTAGTAAGACTACGCTAGGATGTCAGTGTCACATTTGACACCCAGGAGAAGCTAGAAAAAGGGTGTAAAGCTGGGGGTTTCAGTGCCCAGGCCACCTCTTCATGATGGGTATGCAAGCAGCTTCTCTGGGCAGATCTAATAATGATCATACTTCCCCTGAAATCATTGGCTCGACTGCTGTCATCTATGCTAATGAACTCGATGGATGGCTGGTCTCATCCGGCATGATTGCTTGTGTGACACATTGCTAGAGTGTCATATCCAATTTACTTCCTTCAGC